GGGGGGGGGGGGGGGGGGGGGGGGGGGGGTGGGGGGGGGGGGGGTGTTGTTGTTGTTGCACTGCAGGACAAAATCTCTTGAGTCATCCGCAAGTGTGCAAAAAAAATACAAATGTGTAACAGCTGTTTCACCAGCCACAGTAGAAGATAGAGCCAGAAGTATATGGACATTACTTTATTTATACACCGTCATGGAGCAAAGATTACAGGTAACGATATCCGACTTACCCAGGCTGATAAACATTACAACATTTATGAAATATTAAAGCATTATATAATAAGAATTAAAGCAAAAGAACATCAATCCAAAAAGACATTTTAATACAAAATAATAAATATCGCAATACCCAATATGTGATATATAGATTCATACATCTAAACCTGACTCTAAAACACTGCTAATATATTTTTTACAAAGTTAAAGATCTTAAAGGTAAACATTAGAAATACACACAGTTTACTAGAATGTGCACTCGTACGTATTTGATTGGTCGACGCTGTGTGTTTGCTAGTTTTTTATTGGACGTCGTTCAGTTTGTGTCGTGTTTGTTTAAAAACAAATCTGGGTCGTGTTAACTAAAACCTTTTTTAAACCTCGACTGAGTTGGTACCAAGAACAGGAGTCAATGACTACGTTTATACTTCATATTCCACTATTATTCCGAAATACAAGAATATCGTGGCTCATGTAAACATCATATTCCGTTTGGATATTCTGAACTAGGCCTGTAATTTTGACGATTTTATGATTAAAAACATGTGGGATGTGTCGATATTATTCTGGTTTCAGGAGCATCCTTTGAACGTTTATAGAGCGCAACATTTCTGATCGGAAAGAGAAACACCGACTTTTAATCATCATGAAGGACTTGGATATCAGAAGGTTTTTTTGGGATATGCACAAATATCACTACGTCGACCTTTTCGAGAGAGTGTTTGAAGGAATGAAAGATGGACTCTATGCTCGTGATAGTTGGCACGTGATAAACGACGTGTTAAGGCATGAAAATGAGAATATATAGGAGAATATAAAGGAGAATAAAAATGAGAATGTAAAGGAGAATATAAAGAAGAACAAAAAAATAATATAAAGAACATAAAGGAGAATATATAGGAGAATAAAAATGAGAATGTAAAGGAGAATATAAAGAAGAACAAAAAGGAGAATATAAAGGAGAATATAAAAGAGAATATAAAAGAGAATATGAGAATATAAAGAAGAACATAAAGAAGAATATAAAGAACGTAAAGAACAACATAAAGGAGAATATAAAAGAGAATATAAAAGAGAATATAAAGGAGAATATGAGAATATAAAGAATAACATAAAGGAGAATATAAAGAAGAATATAAAGAAGAACGTAAAGAATAATATAAAGGAGAATATAAAGGAGAATATAAAAGAGAATATAAAGGAGATTATATAGGAGAATATAAAGGAGAATATATAGGAGAATATATAGGAGAATATAAAGAAGAACATAAAGGAGAATATAAAGGAGAACATAAAGGAGAATATAAAGGAGAATATAAAGGAGAACATAAAGGAGAATATAAATGAGAATGTAAAGGAGAATATATAGGATAATATAAAGAAGAATATAAAGGAGAATATAAAGGAGAATATAAAGGAGAATATAAAGAAGAACATAAAGGAGAATATAAAGGAGAATATAAAGGACAATATAAATGAGAATATAAAGGAGAATATAAAGGAGAACATAAAGGAGAATATAAAGGAGAACATAAATGAGAATATAAAGGAGAATATAAAGGAGAACATAAATGAGAATATAAAGGAGAATATAAAGGAGAATATCAATGAGAATATAAAGGAGAACATAAAGGAGAATATAAAGGAGAATGTAAAGGAGAATATAAAGAAGAACATAAAGGAGAATATAAAGGAGAATATAAAGGAGAATGTAAAGGAGAATATAAAGAAGAACATAAAGGAGAATATAAAGGATAATGTAAAGGAGAATATAAAGGAGAACATAAATGAGAATATAAAGGAGAATATAAAGGAGAATATAAAGGAGAACATAAATGAGAATATAAAGGAGAATATAAAGGAGAATATAAAGGAGAACATATAGAAGAACATCAGGTCTGGAGGGAAACTTGCAAGCAAGCGCAGACCAACAGCTGCTGGTAATTTCCCAGGGTGATCGTGCATTGGTCAGTCATTATGTACGGCTTATTGTGCAGGGGAAAAAAAAGCACCACGGTGATCATTCCACCGTGAGATAACGGATATATTTTATTACACTGCAACGCACACCGACGCCATTTGTGTCACGCTATACCTGTGAAATTGGACAATTTGTACCGGCATGAGATTGTTTTTTAATCCTCGGCGGATTCATTAATCCACTGACAAAATCATTCACGTCAGCACATTTGCGGCAGCGGTCCCGACACTTTGGCTTTTAACCCTCTTTGAGCTGTCTCTCCTTCAGCTGAAGGCCTCTCTCCTTCCACCTTCCTCTCTCTCTCTGGTCTGGACTGTAGTGGATCTACAGTCGGCTCTGACTCATCTCCTTTCCTTCTCTTCTCATCTCCTTTCCTTCTCTTCTCATCTCCTTTCCTTCTCTTCTCATCTCTTTCCTTCTCTTCTGGACGTTTTTTCTTTGTCCCACCGCCGATGGCAGTGGTGCTCTTTTCTCCGTTATAACCTCTCACGCCGGCCCACACAAGGACAATCAACTACTTCTCTTGTCTTTCTTTTTTATCTGCATTTCTTCCTGTTTCTCTCTCTTTCTCTCTCCCTTGGTTTGCACCCGCCCCCCCCCCCCCCCCCCAATCCTCCCCTCCCCCACACATCTCCTTTTTTCTTGACTATGGACACAGTGTTCATGTGTGCATTTAGGGAGGAGGGGGGTGGTGTAAGATGAGGGGAGGGGGCGGGGGGGTAAAATCCTATAATCACCAATCAGAGGGATACTGGGGGCAGTTGTCATAGAAACCTCGTGCACGGCTCTTGAGGCCCCTCCCACCCCCCACCCCCCATCCCCCCCCAACAGTCGCAGAATTGCATATCCCATAATGATAATAATATCATTTCTGAGGCAAAAAGGAAAAAAGGAGGAGCAGGAGGGGAGGGAGGTGTGTGTGTGTGTGGGGGGGGGGCGACTACAGACCATAATAGTGCTCCTGGTCGCCATGGTGATAAGCAGAGAGGGTGGTGGCGGTGGTGGAGGAGGGTTACAGGCGGGGTCAGATTATCATGTAAGTCAAAACGCATTCCATAATACTTCTTGACTTCCTCGCCCCCCCCGCCTCCCACCACCTCCCACCATCTCCGGCTGCAGGACTCTCGCTCTGAAGCTGCAACCAGATGACAAATAAAAGTGCAAAAATTGTTTTTGATCAGGTCCAACATGTCTGCCACATGAAGATGACACACAACATGTAGGCTGACAGATGGAGGGAACAAACAAAAGATGACAAAGAGATAAAAAATAAGCGGAAAGTTAGATTGGTACGCCTGCGGTTCTGTTGGGATGTCCTGGACGGCTCGGATGTTCTGGAGTTCTCCCGTCTCACCTTTATATATATATATTACGATTACTGTAGTAAAAAGAATACTTATTGTCGAAGTGATGAATCAAGCAATGAGACACTTTGTTTTTATT